GGTAACACCATGCTTGGAACGTAGTGTGCGTCCAATGAATCTTTATTAAATGAAAGAATTAGGCAGGGATCTGAAGATGAGTATGGACGTAGATATAGTGAAGTTTGTAGATAAAAGGTAGAAGTAGAGAGAAGCCAAGTTCAGTGGTCTCACTTCTCCTGATGCATCATAAGGAAGGCGTCTCCTGACGGGGACTGGTAAGAATGCGCTGAGTAGTGGATCTGAGGATGTCGGTAGGACGGGGAGAGTTGACGGTGAGATGGAGAGCTGACCAAGGTCATTATAAATTGCAGTGAATTTCTTTTTGCCCTTAAATCTAGAAGAGCACTTTCAAACCTGAGTTTGGGTTCCTGATTTCACCTTGGCTAGTACGCCATTGACCATGTTGAATGGAATGAGTCCTCTCGTCATATAACTTGCCCATGTAGACCCGGCACCTGGACCAACCTCACTCCTTAGCCTCACGTTAAAGGTTCTTTAGACCTGACTCCACTCTATACTTTTTTCCATACTTTCTATCAATACATTGATGTTAGAACCAAATGAACCTCTCAGAGTTCACTGTATGTGGTCTACAATTTCTATTCTATGAGCTTTTGATCACTTCAGCCTAGAATGCCTTTTGTTTTCTCTATCCCTGCATGTCTACACCTAATACAGCTCAAATTCTACCTTATTTTTAAAACCTTCTCTTATTCTTCCTCTCCGGAGTAATCATTCCTTCTTTTGGATTTGAATATGTATATTTTTGCTATTTCTGTATGTACATGCTGATTATGTATGTGTGTAGATTCTCAGGTATTGTGTATTGGATAATATTTTTTAATAAGGATTGACACTGGCCACCTTACGTAACGTTAATGACCTTATCTTAAATCGTCTTCCCTAATTACAGTATTTTAAATTATAACTCCCTCTTCTACCAGCATTCTCTATCTCCGCTTTTTTTTCTTATTTTTCTTCATCAAATTTAGCACCATATGATACTGTTTTATTTATTTCTTTGTTGTACGTCTCCCCTTACCCACATGAGGGCAATGGTTTTTGTCCCATGACGCTGTTCTAAGACACTGTTGCTGAATTAATGAAGTGGTGTGTATGCATTATTTATCTTAACATATTACAAAAGCTGTTGAAGGCAAGGATTGTGTGTTAGTATTTTCTCTTTTTTTGTTTTGCCCTCAGTCCGTAATCCTGATAGAATTTTAGTATTTGGAAAGGTTTATGGAATTGTTTCAAAATATTTTATTGGTGTGATCTTTCAAGACAGAAATTTGGCAGAAGCCTTGAC